TTCAAGGTCAATGTATAAAAACCAATTGTATTCCTATATTTTAGCAATGAACAATAAGAAATTGAATTTTTAAAAGACAGTATCATTTACAATAGCTCCAAAGAACAAAATAATTATGTAAATCTAACAAAATACATGTAAGATCTATATGCTGAACACTAAAAGATACTAACAAAAAAAAATCAAAGACCTAAATAAATGCAGAGATATACCATGATAATAGACTAGAATGTTCAATATTGTTAAGATGTCAACTCTCCCCAAAATGATCTATAGAGTCAACACAATCCCAATCAAAGTCCTAGCATAATGTTTTGTAGAAATGAACACGATGATCTTAAACGTTATATAGAAAGGCCAAAACGATTTTGAAAAAGACTTACGAGAAAGCCGTAGTAATCGAGACAATGTGATATTGGCTTACGTGCAGACATATAGACCAAGGGAACAGAGGAAAGAGTCTATTAAAAGCCCTGTACATGCATGACTGATTAATTTTTTTCAAAGATGCAAAGGCAATTCAGTAGAGAAAGGATAGTCTTCTCAAGACATGGTGCTGGAATAACTATATATCATATACAAAAAAAATGAACCTCAACATATATCATATACAAAAATCAACTTTAAATGGATTATAGACCTAAAAATCTTAACACAGTTAAAGTTCAAACAACGCAAATGAGAGCAATTAAGTAAAAGTTTTAGAAGAAAACATATGAGAAAGTCTCAGTGGCCTTGGGTTAGGCAATGACTTCTTAGATATGACACCAAAGCACAATCCATGAAAGAAAAATTGATAAATTGGACTTCATCAAAACTAAAACTTTTGCCCTTCAAAAGACACTGTTAAGAAAGTGAAAAGACAAGCCACAGACTTGGAAAATATTTGCACAGCACATTCTCATAAAGGACTTGTATCTAGAATATATAAGAAAGTCTCAAAATTCAATAACAAGAAAATAAACAACTTCCCTGTGATGGGCTGAACTGTGTTCCTTCAAAATTCATATGAGCCCTAACTCCCAGTAACTCAGATTGTGACTGTACTGGGAGACAGGGAATTTAAAGCGGTGATTAAGTTAAAATGAGGCCCTTAGAGTGGGCCTAATTCAGTCTGACTAGTGTCCTTATAAGAAGAGGAAATTTGAATACATAGAGTCACCAGCATAGTGCATACACAGACAAAAGACCATGTGAGGACACAGCCAGTAGCAGCCAAGGAGAGAAGCCTCAGAAGAAACCAAATCTGCCAACACCTTGATCTTGGACTTCTAACCTCTAGAACCGTGAAAAATAAATTTCTGTTGTTTAAGACATCCAGTCTGGGGTATTTTGTTATGGCAGCCTAGAAAACTAATATACTTCCCTAAAAAAAGATGGGCAAAAGATTTTAATGGACACTTCACCAATAAAAGATATATGGATGGCAAATAAGTACATGAAAAGATGCTCAATACAATTAGCCATTAGGGAAATACAAATTAAAACCACAATCAGATACCACTAAATTCCTATTAGAATAGCTAAAATTGAAAACTTTTTTTAACTCTAACTACAAAGTGTTCAGAAGGATACAGAGAAAGTGAAACTCACGCATTGCTGCTGGGAATACAAAAAAGGTAGAGCCACTCTGAAAAACAGTTTGGCAGTTTCTTATCATAGAGTTATCATATGCTACTATATGATGCAGCCATCCTACTCCTGGATATTTACTCAAGTAAAATGAAAACTTATATTCACAAAAACCTGCTCACAAATATTTATAGCAGCTTTTTTCATGAGAGCCAAAACTGGAAATAACTCAAATGTCCGTCAACTGGTGAATGGATAATCAAATTGTGATACATCCATACATGGAATATTACACAGCAATAAAAATAAATTATTGACATGTGCAACAAGTGGATGCATCCCAAACGCATTACGCTAACTAAAAGAAACCACACTCAAACAGCACATATTGTATGGTTCCATTGATGTGAAATTCTGGCAACGGCAAAACTACCAAGACAGCCTACAACGCAACTGTTGCCAGGAGCTAAGAGTCAGGGGAGGGGTTAGCCACAAGGGGCATGGGTGAATTTTTTGGGTGGCAGAGCAATTCTATATTTTTACTGTGGTGGTAGACACAAACTGTATACATTTTCAAAATTCATAGAACTGTACACTATAAAGAGTGAATTTTGCTGTATGCAAATTATACCTCAAAAAAACAGACTTAAAAAAATTCCTGGCTAAGGCTTTCTCTCCCCAAATCCAGAGCATACCTGGAAAGACGGTAGAGAAGGTGGTGAGTTTTAAATAATTACAGGAAGACTATATCCCTGTAGTATTTCAGTGATTGTAAATAATTTTTAAGTAAAAAAAAGCAGGAATATACAGAGAGATATATCACTTTTAAGATTCCCATCAAAAACAACAAAAAATGTTAAGTAATTCCCAATACTGGGAATAGTCACTTATCTGAAATCCTTAATCTCAAAGACTTCCACAGTTCATTATTGATTATCACGAGTTGAACACATTGCAAGTTCAAGACACGCAAATAGAGGCAACAGGTTAAGGAGATCAAGCTTCTATTGGGTTTTTAAATATTAGGAAGTAGTTTGAATTAGATCTGACTAGAGGTGAGAAATCACAATTTCTTTAGCAGGGGGAAGAACATGATGAAAATTGTGTGTTAAAAAAATTAGTCGAGCAGCATGTACAGAATGAATTTGAAGGAAGATATTGAAGCAAGGAAATAAAAGATACCTGCAGTGATGAAGAGGGCCCAGGCTAGAGTGACGGCCATAGGACTGTATTCATTAAATCCAAAATGCATATTTTTTCCATGTTTTACTGAATACCCAAAAACAATGTCACATTTGCTATATTAAGGTTATATGAAATTGAGACGCAGAGGGCAACTTGGCCTACAAAATTAAAACTCTCTAGTGACTGTGTTGACTCATGTAAGGTCATAGCAAGGGCACCCAAGTCAGGTGGCGGTGGTACAGTGCAAGTTAGACCTGGTTATGATAGAAATTAATCCCAATTTCATTTTCTCATCATTGGCTTTTTGTTTTCTACTAGTAACAGGTATTAATCTCCCCTTGGAACAGAAATATGTGGCTTCACTGCAGCATTTCTAGTCAGAGGCAGAGGCTAATGGCACACCCAGCCAAGCCCACAATCGACATAAAAGGCCCAGCTTTGATCTAAATCCACTCAGAAAAGCTCTCTTTCAAATGATGCAACTAGAGGTCTCTTCCTTTGAAGACCAACTGTGATCACCTGATAAGATAAACTTCTTTGTTGATTTTCTCTTGTTTCAGTCAGACTAGTATTTTCTCCTGCAGGAATATCAATAATACCATACCTTCTGTTATTTAAAAATTCCAAATTAGAAGCCTCTTGTCTAATAAAGCTGCTAAAAATCAGCTCAAACCTAAGGGAATTTTAAAAGGCAAGTCATTTGTGACATAGGTGTCCCAACTTAAACTGCAAAGTCAAAGGTGTTGATTTATGTGGCAACAATGTAATTGGATGGGTTACCAGAAGCAATCTTCTCCCAATTCATTCATCTGTTCTATTTACGGGACTGCCCATGCCCTGGGAACAAGGGTCTCCTTTAACCAGGAATATACATATGCTTTCTGAATGAAGCTGAGATTTGACTCTATAATCAGTCTTTTTGTAGATGTCACTTCACATCTGATTAAAAACATTTCTTATCTGGATACTGACCTTCACTCTCTTCCTTTACCATATGGGTTCATGATCCCCCCACCCTTCGCCAGTCCTCAATTCCAACAGCTCTACTGGTTCCTGATAGTTAGCTAGACACTTAACACCACTCTTGCTTTACTGTATATTCTTAATTTCTGTATTCTTGCTTGATTTCTGACCTGTGACTTACTTGTATTTGTATACACATTCAGTCTCTGCTTCTCTCCCATACTTTGATAGGTATTCCCCAAGTTTAACTTCTGTGATCCTCAGTTTTCTCATCTGTTTAAGACGAGGAAAATAATAATATTATTGTAAGGTTAGTTCAAGGATTAAATGAAGTAATAAGTAGAGTGATAGCACAACCTGAGATAGAGAAAGCTGCTAAATAATTGCTAGCTGCCCCCAAGCATAACTACACCTAGACAACAGAGCATTGTCTTCTGATTTTGTTCTGCATTCATAGATGTAGATAATAGCCATTTTCTACCATAAGGGAAAATTCCTTCTTTTATGCATAAAAAATTATGGAGTCACTTCTCACTCTTCTCTTCTGAAGGTTAAGTAAATTCAATTTCTTTCCAATGAGTCATGTTTTCTTACTCTTTAGGCATTTTTACTACTTTCTTCCATTTATGTTCTCCAATCTTATTTTAGTTTGGGAAAAAGATACTAGTTTCCAGTAATGTTGATATCAAATTCAAAAAGCACTTACCAAAACCTATCCTCCCAAATGATTATCTTGCACCCCCAATCATTATGTAGCCCCCTTCCAATGTCCCAGGCAGCGCACCTCACTCTGGACAAGGCTTCAGAAGAACCAAGATACTACTAACTGTGCTAAGCTCTGAAGAGCTGCTCTAGCACCTGGATGCAGGAGGAAAGAGCAGCAACAAGGAAGCCTGCAGGAAGTGTCAGCTTTCTGTGTGTAGTTCAGTTAGGAGCTAGATAAAACTGACCACCCTAAGCATGACCATTATACTTTGACAGTAGGACATCCTCCTTGGCAAAGACGTCTCCTCCACCGGCTGCCAAGTTTCCTGATCATCTCAGCACCACCTCCTGTGCTGGCTGAGAGGCAGCTGGCCCTTAGAGCAGGAAACCCACAGAAGAGTGTGTACTTGTGTGTTCTCTCTCGGCTTCTGACTGAGTCACCCAAGTCAAACAGTCCCTGAAACATAAAGGTGGCTACCTTCACCTAAGTTGAGTGGTGGGGGGAGAAAGGAACGCAAAATCATCTTGGTCAATCAAGAACTATTTTCAGGGAAAATGGGACATTTGTGTTTAAGGTTGAAGGGGAGCAGAATCTGTCACCCCAAAATATGCCTCTTTGGCATAAGGATTATTTTAGGCTGATTATTTTTAAGAAACAGCAGACACAGGAGAAGCCCTGAAAATAGAGAAGTTACCCTTTTATAGGAGACATTTTTTTTAATATTATTTTCTTACTTTTTTTTTAGTGAAGTATAATTGACATACAAACAATATCATATTGGTTTCAGGTGTACATTTATAAGGGAAATCTCCATCTGTCACGGTGTCTCCCTCTCTGTACCAGGAAGAGGGGGATGACTAAATCTCTAGAAACTCTTATCAATGGAGAAGGCAGAGACTTAAATCTGCATAACAACCATACTCTCATTTACTGTGCTTTGCCAGAAAACCTCCCATAACTGGCTCCCCACTCTCCAATATCTTCTTTTGTCTTTAGCTGGAGATGGTATTTAAGGTGGTGGCTTGGGCCATTTTGGAGAGTGACTCAGTTTCCCCTGTGCATCTTCCATGTACACAGGAGGTATTCATGTTATTAAATTTCTGTTTGCTCTTCTCCTGTTAATCTGTCTTTTTACTACAGGGGGATCTCACCCAAGAACCTAGAAGGGTAGAGGGAAAATTACTCTTCCTCCTCTACAAGATCTAAAACTAAGCTACCTCACACCCTGGGTAGCTTCCCATGGGAGGAAAGAGGATTCGCTTGGAAGAGTTGGAGTTATAATCCATATCTCTAGGAACACGGATAGAATCAGTGGGAAGAGCACATAACTGATAAAGAGTCCAGCAGGCAACCTCATTCCTGTGGGAGGAGCAGAGTCCTGAGTCCCACTTCAACCTACTGCTAGCACTCCCACACACCTGACCATCCCCAGCTTCACTCCTGGCCATCCCCAGTCCCTAAGTATCACGGGATGTCTAACGGAAAGACACAAGAGTGTTCAGACTTGCTGCTATTAGAGATCTGTGGATGAGGGGGCTCTAAACTCTGAGGACAGACACAAGAGTTCCTCCCAAGCTTGAGACAGAAGGAAGAGGGCATTGCTGCTCATACTCACAATTTAACAGGTATTACTGCAACTGAGTATGTGTGTGAGGGAGGTAGAGGCTGGGAAATTAGAAATACAGATTTTTGTCAAGTTTCTAAATTGGAGGTTCCTGGGCAACAAGAGACAGCATGGGATCACAGAGTATGCTAGGGGAGAAGAAGGGAAAGATGGGAAATAAATAAGTAAAAACCTGGCTAAAACAGTACAAGGGTACAAGGATGGTATTCAGAAAATATAAGAGAATATTAACTTTTAAAAGCAAGAAATTAAGGTATTGAAAAGAAATCAATGGCTCTCTAAGAGGCTTTACAGGCCAGAGATTTCTTGAATCAGCTGATTTCTTATTGCACTTGATTCTTTTTCCCTAACATGTATCAGTACAGCAAGTATTACATAAGTAGCAAACCAACTAAATTCCCTTTATAAAACAATTATCTCTATATCCCTATTAGTGTATCTTTTACAGATTTTCCTGCGAGTCTTTTATTACATATCTAAGACCTAACTTTCACTTGCAGTAAATTATTCAAACTCAATTCAAAGTGAAACGTGTTTTTGTTTAATTACTAAAATACATTTTGTAATGTCCAAAGCTGATTAAAAGGGAATAATTTCCCACACTCCTCACCCAGGCCACCTCTGCAACTACAAGCCACATAAACCGATTAGTTTTTTTGGTTGAGAAAAATGAACCATTACATCTCAACCTAAGTTGCAACTTGTCATTTTGCATTTGAGCATTTATTCACTGGAAGCTTATGTGGCAGGTGATCTTTGTTCTTTTGACAGAAGCCAAACATTTAAGCACGGAAAGAGGCCAAGAAGAGCACCTTGGCCTACCTTCTCAGGGGCTTAGATAAGTATCTGGAGAAAATCAATATCATGGAAATTAAATGCCAAATTGTTTTAAAAGTGCTTAGCTCTCACTATTGCACCTAGTACTTAGCTATTTTTCTTGAAGAGAAAACTCATCACAGATGTCTTTAGCATAAAGCACCAATCTTGATGTAATTTTATTCTCATGTCTTTTTCCACTGGTCATAGCTTCTGAATTCCCTAATTTACTTTCTATCACCTCTGTCCTAATTTGAATTTGTCCAAGAGTGAAACTAGTGCTAAATCTCATCTTTTTTCTACATCTCTTAATATGAAGTACCTTATTTATTTCTTAAATTGATGCTGTTAGACAATTAGTCACACAGAACTGTTACAACACTTATTGAAGAATATCTCAAATTATTTTTTTAAAGAAATAAGATAAATTATATTACCAGGAGATAAATGGGAACCTTGTTTTTCAGTCTTTTTAAACATTTATGATCAAATTCTGGATAGCCAAAGCACTGGCAGCTGTATAAGTCCAAATCTCCCAGCATAATCTCCGAAAAACATTTAAAAAACAAATAAACTACACAAAACCTACGCCCTCAGCATAACTAAAAAAGAGAGAACAACCGAAATTTCAAATTACATGTAAATAGAAAATTAACACCAAATCTTGGCATGCTATCTCTCACACTCCTGGTGCAAACTTTCCTGGAGATCAAGGACAGTCAGGGGAAAAAAACTGCAATGAAAACAGAAAAGGAAACCCAGCAGCAATATTTACCAATTGGTCTAAAAATCACAGCTAGATAGGGAAATCTCACCTTAATTGCAAAAATACTGAAAAAAAGTCCTGGTAGATCAGAGCCAACTAGAGGGAGGGACTAGTGCATGGGACTCTAAAAGGCAGTCTTGGAAAAGCTTTGGGGGAGAAGAGGGTAAAAAGGAATGAAGAGGCGCTCTCTGGAAACTGCACGGTGAACTTAAAAAAGAAAGGGAAATTCAGGATCCTGCAAGACAAAAGATATTTTAAAAACTGAAGGATTAATAACCCCTCCCCCCCGACCCCTTCTGAGAAAAGACATACAAGAAATAAACTATATTTTGCAAGTTTGACAGAAGAACTTGAACTAGGAATCGTGTAAACTATCCCAAACTATCTCTGCAGAAATAAAGAGGCTCAAGCAATCTACAAGTATACAAGTCTAATATACCAAGAAAACAGAAATAAGAAGCAAAATAATTCAGTTGACGAAAATATTCCCCCCAAAAAAATAGTGAAGCAAAAGATAATGGTAACACAATACTCCAAACTGAATTAAATAGCCTCAAAAGATTCTGAAACCTTCCCACCAAAAAATATAGAGAGACAGAGACAGAGATACACACACACAAAATTACTATGCAATTACTTGTTCACTTGACAACCAGTCATTAAAACATTAAAACCAAATTTGTCCCTGGCACTGTCCTAGGTGTTGAGGAATAGAGAGGAAAGAGTTTTCTCTATGATTTCAAGGCGCTTATAATATAGTGAAAGGAGACAGAAAAATAAAGTACGGTATGACGAGTGATGTGACAAAGGTACCCATGGAATGCTTTCAAAACACCATAAAGCAATATCTACCACAAATAACGAGCAGTCAAGTCTGTAACTTGAAGTATAAGTAAGAGTCAGGCCAAGAGAATCTGGAAAGAAAATAATCACACAGAAGTAATAGTATACGTAAAGGCATGAAGACAGAGGAAATGTGATAAATTCAAAGAACAACAAATATTCTGATATCGCTGAAAACAAGGTTCTTATGGGAAAATGAAGGGTCTTAAATGCCTTATAAAGATTGGATTTTATTCTAAAGGCAATGGAGAGCCACTGAAGGATCTTACATGAGAACATGCTCAGATTTGCACTTTTAAATAATCTTTCCAACAGCATTATATAGGCTGATTAGGAAGGGGTGAAACTGAATGCAAGAAAATCAATTAGCAGGTGTTTGCTAAGGCGGGGAATACAAGTGGAATGAAGGCATAGGAATGGAGGGCAAGAAGAGATAATATTAAATTTCGAATATGTTGAGCTTGAAAAGCCAATTAAGTAACCAAATAAAGTCTAGAGTTGAAGAGACATATTTGGAGTAGAAATGAAGATATGGGAATCAACTAATCATCAGATTAGAGATAGTTATTGAGTGTATGGGTGTATATGAGATCACTCCACAGGGTATACAGAGGGTGTAGAAAAAAAGGGAAAACGAAGAGGAAGGGAAGCACAGTCATGTTCTGGGAAACATCAACACTTACCCTGAGAGAAACTGAGAAGTGTCCAGACAGGTCGGAAGAAAATTTGAAGGGAAAAAAAAAAGAAAATTAAGATTTATAAGTAGGAAGGGCAGTTGACGGTGTTCAGTGCCCTATAGAAGTTACATTAAAAGGTCTGAAATATGTTAATTAGATTGGTGATCATAATAAGAACAGTGTTAGTACAGCTGAAGGGCAGAAACCAGATTACTGAGAAGTGAAAAGTAAACTGGAGGTTAAAAAAAGTACTATCTACAAACTCCTTAGAAAGGCTTGGCTTTTGATTCACTGGTATCATTAACCTTTCATATCATTCATTTCTTCAACAAATATTTAGTGAGCACCACTCAATATCAAGAGAGACAAGGTGCTTATATTCTAATGAGGAAAGTCGGGCAATAAACAACCAAAAAAATTAAATGTACAAGGTAATTTCATATAGTGATAAGTGCTCTGAAGAGGCCAGTAGGGTGAGGGGGGTTCTTCCTTAGATGGATCAAAGAAGTCCTCTCTAAGGAAGTAGTATTTAAGCTGAAGCCTGAATTATAAGAAGAAACCATGCTGTGAAGCTCTGGTGGAAAAGGATTCCAAGAAGAGGGAACAACAATTGCTAAAGAGAAAATGGTAAGTACATTCAAAACCTCCAAAACAATTACTAAAACTGGTACTTACATCTGCCTAACAACTGCTGATAAAACTATTTCCTCACCGAGTCCATTGGCAGTGCTGCTGAGCTGGTCAAAATAGGGCAAATCAGCTGACTCATATTAAAATGAAAAAGCAAGGAATCATGAAAGAAATCATCATGGAAACCTTCCCTCCCTTACATTTAACAATTCAAAAACTGTTGAAGTACTTCACTGCCATAGAATGAACAAAAATGTTAACAACAGATTGTCCCAAACCTGAATGCAGTTTTAAGATCCTTGAAGCAA